GGGCGTTATGAGGCTAAAGACTGAGATGCCCAGAGGCTATGGTGGTGGGAGCCAGACTCCCTGGGGAGGAGCAGGAGGGTGGGGCTGGCTCAGCCGACAGGGGGCTGGAGCGTTACATTTTTTAACTCAGAGAGTTTTTCTCCCAAGGGTTTTTCGAGTGTTTGAGTCAAACGGGCACTGAGCAAACTCCGCACAGTTCAGCGCTCTCAGTACAAGCTCGCCCCTTGCAGCTGATCTGGAGTCACCCCCCCCCCGCTAGCCCTCCACCCCAGGTGCAGAGGCGCTGACTTTCTGATTTCCCCGGGGGTGCTCGACCCCTGCTCTGCCCCAGGCCCCGTCCCCACTCCACCCCGCCCTGCCTCTTCCTGCCCCCACTCCTCCCGCTCCTCCCCAGTGCCTCCTGCCTGCTGCTGAACAGCTGATCAGTGGTGGGCAGGAGGCTCTGGGGGTGGGGTGGGGGCGGGGGAGGAGCTGATTGGTGGGGCCCGCTGGTGGTGCTGAGCACACACTATTTTTTTCCCATGGGTGCTCCAGGGAGCACCCACAGAGTCGGTGCCTATGCCTGGGTGGCCCCTACAGGGAAAAGCAGCCCTCCTAGGCCCGCTTTCCACCCCACCAGGGCCCAAGGCCCATGCGTGAGTTCTCAGGGCAGGGTCCCCTCTACAGGCTACGTACTCTGTGCGACCTCTGGCCAGGAAGCCAACAGCCCCCTGCCACTGGTCTGCCTGCAGCTCCCACCCCTGCGGCAGCCGTGAGGTGTGCCAGCGGGGGAGGAGAGGGACTGAAGGGATGTAAAAGTCTCCATTAGTACCACGGCTGCCTCTGATCCTCAGAGCAGGGGCCTGTAATTTGCCAGCTTCCTCTACAATCCTCCTCGCTAGCTGGCACTGGGTGGGTGCCCGCGGTGCGAGCTGCCCTCCAAAACCCAACCCCAGAGGCGGGTGGCGCCCACCTGCTGCAGAGAAGCCAGGGCTTCGGTGGGTTTGAGTCAGCCAAGGGGAGGGTGGTTGACAGGGCAGGGCTGACCCCTCCTGCCAGCCCCAGCCAGGGGTGCCGCAGGGCAGCAGAGCCAAGCCCCTATCTGCGGCCCTGCATGCACAGCCAGGGTCCCTCCTCCCTTCCCAACAGCTCCTCTCTGTCACTATTCATGCTCCTTGCTGCCTTTCCCCGCAAACGTTCAGTTCTTCCTCCTCTCTTCCTCCCCCCCCCCCCCATGGCTAAATACAGTGAGGGATGGGGAGAGAGGAGCAGTGCCCCAATGCAAAGCAATGACAGCTCCCGGCACCCCCAACCCCAGGCGCCGTGTGGCAATGTTCCGGTGGGTGGTTACGCACAGTGCCCCTGCCTTTGCCTCAGTGTCCCCAGCTTGCCCCCAGCCGGCTCCTGGGCCAGGCTTTCTCCCACTCTCCACGGCTGTTAGTTAGAGCCCCCAGGCAGGGCCCCGTGCGCTAGGGGCTGTACAGGCAGATAACAAACAGGTGGGGAAAGAGAGCATGGAAGTGCCTGGCCCAGTGTCACCCAGCAGGGCCATGGCAGAGCTGGGCCCGGAAACCAGGTTGCCTGAGTTCCCATCCGGTGCTCCGCCCACTAGACAAGACTTTCTCCCTGCCTACAGCCCCTGCCCCACTCGCCTGCGTGTCTGTTGTGGGGAACCGAAGCCCTGCGAGTGGGCCAGGTATGCTCAGCTGGTGTAAAGGGAATTTCAGCAGAGGTTCTGCAGTTTTACACCAGCTGAGGATCTGGCCCCGAGCGGACCGACGACCTCAGTGTTGGGGCTCAGTCTGCGGTGTCCCCCTCACTGTGTGTCGGGGTGCAGGGGAGTGCAGTGCACTGGGCCAAACCCCTCCTGGGTGCCAGCCCCCACCCTGAGGGGGCGAGACGGACCGAGGCTCAGTTCCTGCACCGCTGCCAGCAAGTGGAGGCCCCCCCACCACCTCCAGTAGGGGGCAGAAATCCTGGGTCCAGGAAAGGGGCAGCCCCACGCGCAGCGACTGCCTGGGGGCCACACCACAGCCCAGGGCCCCCTTGTGCCATGGCCCAGCCCCGCATCGTTGATCCAGAGGTTTTAAAGTTGGAAGGGTCTGACCCTGTTACCCTGGCACTGGGCCCAGGGACAGGTGGGTGGCGAGTGCATTGTCCCGGTTTCACTGCCATGCCTGCCCCCCCGCGCCGAGAGTCCCGTCCCCGTCGGGGCGAGGGACATCAGAGTTGTTTCTCTCACGGTCCGTTGCAGTGGGAGATTTTCACCTCCACCCATTGGTCCTGGCTCTGCCTTTCTCTGCCAGATCACAGAGCCTTTAGGCCCTGGGTTTCTCCTCACCACGGTGCTTAGACGCTGAAATCAAATCCCCCGTTGATCTCCTTTCTAACAGGCTAGCCCGAGTTCTGCCAGTCTCTCACCGCCGGGCATTCCCTCCAGCCCTCAGATCAGTTCTGGGGCTCTTTTCTGCACCCACCCGTTTGTAACATCCTCTTTAAATTGCGGCCCCAGAACTGGATG